ATATTAATATATATGTTCTCTCATGAAAATATTAGAAGTAAATCTTAATTGTGCTGTTAAGAAAACTATAATTTCTAGAAGTCAGGAAAAGGTAGCAATGTCTAATAAGACTATGTGGGTAGTAAAATGGTCTTAGCCATTTAAACTCTCCCACATTTCCTAAAGCAAGAGGGAATCTTAAACATGATATATTTGAGATTTGAGTCCATGTGCACTCCTAAAGACTTCTGATAGGAGCTTCATGGAGGGAGTTCAGATGGATATTTTATACATAGGTTTTTAATTTGAACTCATTCCTCCTCTTAACACAGATTTACCAGTTACCAGGTTCTGGAATGGGAAAAAACACATGAAGTCCCTGTCATAGTAGTGTTCAGTGACTTTATTCTTCCTAAGCTTTTGCATTATTGTTTCCTTCATGTAATCTAAACCTCCATAGTCTCTGAGAACCCTCTGTGTTAAGTTCATATAGACTGCTCAGCACAGTTAGAGATGCCTTATAGTCACACTGTGTGAGGAGACACATAATGCTTATTGAAGATTAAGCACTGACTAGAGATTTTGGCTATCTGCCTCTGGCTTTGGTTGTATGATGCCCTTCTGGGTCACCTTGGAAAAGATGTGTACCTGTCTGAGTTTTTAACCTGTAAAATGAACTGTGGTTAAAATTAGCTTCAAAGTACCTTCCAGCATTTATATTTTGAATCCTCTAAATTCTTTTTAATCTTCAAGAAGTTAGAATAGGTATTGCAAAAATAAATGTGCTTAGAAACCTCATCTCAGAGGATTTACCAGAGGCAAAAAGCAATTGCAAATGACCTTTTAGGCATATGTTTTAAGGCTTAGAAAAAATGTGAAAGTTTTTTTATTTGATGACATGAGAATTTATATACTATGAAGAGAAGTATGAAGAGATCTTGCAGAGTAAGAAAAGCCACAAGTATGAGTGGTCATTCAAAAACTTGTTCTATAAGAATTGAAGAGATTTCTTCTACCAAAAAAAAAAAAAAAAAAAAAAAAAACAAACAAAGGCAGTGGCACAGAGGCACTGTGACTTCATTTGCAAATCTTGAAAAAGTTACGCTGAAGAAGGGCTGGGTTTTATTTTTCAGGAAGGACAATGGAAGTGAGCCCAGGTAAAGAAAGAACAGGGATGATGAATCATTAGATATGTTTTAATACTTCACCTAATTAGCTTCTGCTTTTGCTCTTGAATTCGATGTTGAGAAATCAAAAATCGTTATTATTTTAGTTTTCAGAAACATTCTTGTTTTATTTACTTCAGTTTGATCAGATGCAGTTTTAATAGCACCATGAATTTGAGTACACAGGGTTCCCAGAATGCACTTTCCAATCTTGTATGATCCCCTTCCTAAAAATCTATTTGCTTGAGGAAAAATTGTAAAGATCCCTACTCCTCCTCCTCAAACAGCAGTTACAAAAGCCATTACATTAGAGTCCCTGAATGTGGGCTTCTCTGCTGATGCTAAAATGTGCATAACTTCCTAACCCACTCCTCACTCCTTGTTCCTATAGAAAGGGAAGTTGCAAAGCTATGATTTAAAATTTGTAGCGTATGAACTGCTGTTAATGACTGACAAGTCACTGGAATTTCTTTTTCATTATGTTCTTAGCATTCATTAACAACTTGTGAACAGGTCCTTAACAGATCTTTTTTATTTTTTAAATTCCTAGGTGCTCTGATAATGAGAGGTCTTTTCTACACAATGCTAAAGAGAAAGATTCTCCAAATTCCAAAGAGATTCCTTGTCCCCTTAACCTTTTCCTTTCCTCCTTTCCTCTCTTTTTGTTCTCAGTAGGTAGAACACCGCCCCCAACCACATTCAAGTCTCCAGGCCTGAAACTTCTTGCTGTTCTATATATGTATGTTTATGAAGGGGTGGTCGAAGAGAATGAAATCGGGCATGAAGAATACCTGTTTCTCAGGAGCTTACTCAGAGGAGCAGACTGGGAATCACGGCTGTGCCTTAACAGCTCTGCTAGTTGCTATACCAAGCTGGTTACTATGGAAAAGGAAAAGCAAATTGCTGCTTCTAACTTGTAAATAATCACCCAACATTGTATATACTCTTCAGGAGAGTTAGGGTTGATTATGTTGATGTGACCTTCCCACTAGGTAAAAATCTGTTTTGAGGGTTTTATATCCATAATATAGCTCTTAAAATTGTAACTGCAAATCCTGTGGTTTTTAATGTGGAGCAGACCTGAAACCATTTTGATCTTTAAGACTAAGCTGTTCTCTTCTGTTAGAAAAGGACTAACGAGATATAGTAGAGATGGACCTTAACTTACTAGTGTCAAACTTTTTTATTTGAAAATAAAATTTAAAAAAAGAAATGATAACCAAGGGAAGACTTGGAGTGTTGCTATTCTCTATCCCCTCAGATTCCACATAAAAGAGAGCCACAAGAGATTGTTTTATGACAGAGATCCTCATCTTTCTTTTCTAGGATACTTTCATGTCCCCCAGCTTCCTTCTCAGTTGTTTATTCACTCATACCTATCTTCTTATCCTTGATTTTTGTTTAAGTAGAAATCAAGTAGCATATGCTTTTTGATCATGGAGAAAATACCATTTTATAATTTTAACAATAGTAGAACATCTAAAATGTGTGCTTTTGTGCCATCATAATAAACAGGGTACTCTCTGTGGCAGCCATTCATCTCTTCTTTTTTGAAAAATGTCAATAAATCATTCAAAGCCTGCTACCATGATTTGGCAAAGATATAACCATGAATGTGATCCAGAGTCAACTATATAACTGCAAAAAAGAAAAATTCATGCTATGCTCTGCAACCTGTGTATATGGGGCAATTATATGAAACCTCACCATTGATTTTTCTAAAAGCTTAAAAGGGGAAATGCCATCTTGCCTGATATCTGCTCTACGGAAGAAGAATCACTTTGGTCATGGCCCCTGGTGGAGAGTTAGACCATGAGAATCTAAGTTGATCTCACCCAGTTATTTAGGGGGTTAAGTCTCATGGCATATACAGAAGGCAGTTTTTGTTAAATGGTTCATAGCTCCTCAGTTCATAACTTCCAGTAATAGTAGAAGCAAATCCTCAGAGAACACTTTTATCCCCAGATTTAGGAATAACAGGGAGCATTATAATACTCCAGAATATAATATATATTAAATACACATTATAATATTATATATATTTTTTCCCCTGTAGAAAAGATAACTTCTCTCAAGGGTGTCCATGAATGAGGAAGTGTATTTGCATACACTTGTGATGCTGGGCAGGAGTCAGTCACTACCGTAAAGGAAGAATTAAATTGGACATGCCACACACTTGGTTTGGCTTTGTACCATACCTATGCTCTTGTCACGGTTGATTATTTACTTATATCAGACATAAAGCAAGAAGTCTGCACTGTGATTGAATATAAAAGGTATTTTAATAGGCTCAGGTCACATATTATCTTGGCCAATAGCAATTTTATATCATTTTCTTGAAGGAAACCACATTCTTTGCAATAATTTTTTTTCCAATAAAACAAATTTAAGGAGACAGAAAGCTTTGCATATGACTCGTTCATTTGAATGATAGCATTGAGCTCTTTCCATCCCAAGTTGTCCCAAGCCAACTTTAAAATGTCTTTGTTATTTCTTTTGATAGGTAAAAGTTAAGGAGAAATGGTTTGAAAGACTGTCAGTTAAATTTCTAATTACTCTAGTTTCTTTAATAGTTTCTTTTTACAGGTTTGTTGAGTTTTCTTTTTTTTTTTGATGTGAAACAATATAACTAACCAACAAACAAACCAACAATCAAAAAGCACAGAGTGAACTGTCTCTCTTACTTTAAGGATGTTAAGGGCTAAATAGTGTTTTGGTTTCCTGACTGGCAGCATCAGTTTGCCTGCTCTAAGCAGGCTTGTGCAATTCTCAGAGGAAACATTTGAAGAGATTTTTTTTCTCCCACATGACAGAGTTTCATCCCACACAACCCACAGATCTTGATGGCAGACTTCATGAACCAAGAGTCTGGTTTTACAGAAGCAGCTATGGAGTATGTTTTTTCCTTTCACAGGTGCACAACACTCATTCTACCTCAAAGAGAGAACAGATCAGCTTTCTTCCAAGAGGGTAGTTTAAACACTAGACAGCTCTGTGAAAACTGCCAATCAGAGAGGGAAGAGGGGGTGGAGGGAGGATTAAAACTTCCAAAATCCTTCTAGCTGATTTTGTTTTACAACAGACTGGTATACACAGAGGTATTGTATAATTTGTACTGTATTTTTCTCTTACTGTGAAACATATTGAAATGCTTTATGTTTAGGTGTGTGTATAGAAATTCATGAAGTTCTTTTATACACTTAGTTCCAACACAATTCTCATTTTAGGACAAGGTGAAAAGGTAGCTTTGTGAGGGCTTATCCTGCCCCGGCTTGTAAATTTGGATTTGTTCTTTCCTGTTGACCAGCCACCTGATTACTGTCCTGCACAAAGGGTGCCCGTTCGCATCATTTTTTCCAAGTGCTTAAACCTGGAAAGATATTTTTTAAAGGATTCACAGAAGCTGTCTTGGGGTTTTGGAAAACATCACAAAACTGTTAGTAGACCTTTTGACTGTGCTTTTTAATGGAAGCTAACTGTGATTTTTTTACAGTACATTTTTCTCAATGGGACAAAGTTTTCCTTGCCCCTACTGATATGTGAACTATTTACAATGAAAAACTTCATTAAAATACCCCGAAGAGATACATTTTAACCTCAGCAACAGTCAGCAAGAGGGGAAACAGTAACTTAAAAAGAGAAAGGCTTTTGTAATATTTTATGCTTCTGTCTATGCGGAAAAGGAGTTTTTTATTTTACTGTTTAAACAGAAGTTTGTTTTCATATCGGTTGCTAGTTAAGTAACTAGCAGCTGCCCTGGCATCCGTAAAAATCAACTGTAACCAAGCAGTGAAGTTGTGACTTATTCCCCCGAAGAAACGCCTAGCAGATCAGCTGCCTGCAAGAATATCTTACCTTGGGCACGTAAGGTCAAGGAGACAGGCTCGCTGGCTCCCACGTAGAGGTCCTGAGAAGTGCTCTGATCCGCGGCTGGTAACATGCGCTTGGCTTTTATGGGCAGGTGGGAGGAGCTGCTCCTCATAGTAGGTGGGCAGGGAAGGAGCTGAGGGCTGCACCCCCGGGAGGAGCTGGACACTTCTCTGGGGAGGGGCGGAGAGGGCAGAGCTGGGAGCTTGCAAGAGGGCGGAGAGACAAGGATGTGTGTGTGTAGGGGGTGTTAGCAGCGAAGGCGACGCGGGAAGAGGGAGGGAGGTAGAGAGAATAGGATGGAGTGGGAGCAAAGAAAAGAAGAGAGGAAAAGAGGAAAGAAAACAACGAGCAAGGGAGGGGGAGAGACAGAGAGACACACAGAGAGATGCAAGGTATGGAAAAAATGGAAATGGGGTCTCCCCTCCCCGGTTTTGAGAGACTTTGGGGGGAGAGTAAGTGACTATTGCTACTAAGGTGTTCTCTGTGATTTTGATTAGCTATATAGCAGTTCAGGAGTGCTGAGAGTTCATATATGAGTCAAAGAAGAGAAAGCTGGGCGTCCCAGGGGACCCAGGCAGCTGCGAGCCCAAAGCCTCCTACTCTGCCTGGAGCCCCTATGCTACCACAGGCTGGTAAATGCCAACTCCCCTCCCCCCACCATCACCCAGGCAATGCAGATTTGACCGGAAAGTTGTCTTTGCTCTGTCTGTAGTGTGCAGCATCCAGGGCCCCTCTGGACTCTTGCAGCAGTAAGGTGTATCAGTTGAGACTGTCTAGCAAAAAGAGGAACGTCAAAATCTCCGGTTTCTCCAATCTCTGCTTATGTAACAGGATTTCAGGGATTTTTTTTTTTTGCTTTTTGGTTGTTTTCAGTATTTAAAAAATTCTCCTTCTTAATAACTGGAAAACGTCTTGGTGCCACAGCTCTTTCTCTGTGTGTCTTAAACATTAAGAGAGGATTCAGTCTACAAGTGCTAAAAGATTGAGCTGAAATCATTAAGAAATGCACTCAGAAAGGCCGGGATTTAGCTCAGTGGTTCTGCCTTCTACCTCGCTAGCACAAGGACAGGAGTTCAATCCCCGGTATCAAAAAAAAAAAAAAAAAAAAAAAAAGGCACTCAGAGAAAGAAGAAAAACAAGCTCCTTTCACTGCAGAGCAGTGACTCACTTCCCATCCCAAGCAAGATTTTTTGCCTCCAAAGGAATCAAAGCATTTTAAAAAGAGAGAACGTGATACTCAGTGGTGGGGATACTAAGAGGGGAATCTGAGGGGCACAGGGAAGACGGGTGGGCTGGGGAAAATAAGGTTTATCACTTACTGAATATACATATAAACATGAACTTGATCAGTGTTCATAGTATTTTGAGGAATGATTGATCTTGAGCAGATTTTTTTTTAAGTGAAATGAATCTCAAAGGGAGTTAAACAAGTAGTTGGCAAATCTTCACCGTTTAGTGCACCAGGCAGCTGCACAGAATACCTACCCTGTTCTCAGGTTAGATCCTAATGTCTTTGGGTGATACCAGGCTCTAAGAGAAGGAAAAAAAAAAAAAAAAAAAAAAAAAAAAAGGGTGATACCAGGCTCAAAGAGAAGGAAAAAAAAAAAAAAAAAAAAAAGACAGTTAAGAGCTGGTTTTCCAAACTCCTTACTGACACTTGGGGCCAGATAGTTTCCTGTTGTGGAGACCTGTCTTGTGCATTTTAGAATGTTGAACAACATCCCTGCCTCTACTCACCAGATGCCAGTATTAACACTACTCACCCTGCACCACATGCCCTCCAATTGGGAAAATAAAAATGCTTTTTGATTTAGCCAAATATCCCTGAAGGGCAAAATCTTCTTCTCTCTTTAAGAACCAACAATTGGTTTAGGAAAGGTCCACAATTATAAAAATAGGATTTTAGAAGAATCTATTAAGAAAATAGTCAGTAGTGCCATTTGAATAATAATAATACTTGCCACCATATGTGCTATGTTTACACTGGACTTAGTTTTTACAGTCATATTCCCATCTGTTTGCCTGTAGAGCCCAAAGCCACAATTGATTCCTTTGTAACTAAGCTCTTTTTCATTTGGATACACCTGAAAGTCAAAGTAGAATCCCATGTGCCAGGGTTATGAAAGAAGATTAATTATACACTAAATAAAAAATTTTAGATGTTTATCATAAACACAAATTTGACATTAAAACAATTATTCAAATTTATTCATGATGGTTTATGACACTGCTTATTTTAATTTTTAAGTTTCTTCCACAAGGCAACATAATATTCAGTAAGCTTTTTGCTGTAACAAGTTATAAGTAGTGGTTTACTAGTCAGAAGAAAATAAATGCTCAATAAATATGTGTAGCCTGACTAATGGATAAATAACACTGGTGAGCACTGACAAATATAAAATGGCCAATAATTGTTTATTTAATGAGTGAATAAGAGAATTAATGAATATGTAGAAAGCTAAAATGTTCACATTAGTTTTCTTGCCCAAGAGCTATTTGATTTTACTCTTTTCTTACCCTATATAACTCAGTTTTCCTCTGTGTAGCCAAATCCATTAGGTAAGGTTTACAAAATGAGTAACTCTTGTTACAGCACCTAGAAATAGGCCTACATTATCTATTTGGGGACTGAACCTTGAAATCAAATGTGATTTTATAGGCAGGTACCTCTTTTAGATTTTTCAGTTTAGCAAAGAAATGTATTCTGAGCAAAGGAAATAGGACCTAGTTAGAGGAGGTTCTGAGTGAGAAAGCATATTAGTAAATATCCTCATCAAATTACAGCAAATCACCCTTTCAGTCGTGATTTAATACCTCCAAACATTCCAGCTCCATCTCATAGTTGTGAAAAACAGAAAAAAGAATCACCTTAGAAGAGTAGGCAATTGAGAGCATTAGACTGTTTTTCTTTTCCTCTCTCCCGCCTTTACTCCCTTATTTCAAACCTGAATGAATATTCAGCCAACTTAACAAAAGCAGTCTTTTCATTTTGTTTGGATAGTGCAAATGATTAGTTCGTTTCTCCAGTTCACACTTGTTTGAATCTGACACAGTAGCAGATCCGGACGGCAAATTGGGAATCCAGGAATGTGATCTCTGTGTTGATTCTTAGTGTGACCTTCTTAGAATCTCTCTAAAAGTGACTGAGGGTTGAAATGACCTAGTTTGGTAGAAAGAAAGGAATCCAGTAACAACATACTAGATTCTCTGAAGTTTCCATTGTGTGGCAGCAATAATAGCTACTAACAATTACTTTGTTTTCAAGTCCTCTGAAAGCATAAATCTTTTTTGAGGGGCTGCCCTTATATAGAGTTAATCAATTAACAGATATTTCTTAAGAATGGATATAGACAGTGTGGGGTATAGCAGAGGAAAAAAAAAATGAAGGTTTATTTCCATGGAGGAAAAAAAATCTCATGAAATCCTGTTAGTTGAGTAGTAAAGAAACTTCAGGGAGGAGGTAGCATTTGAGCTGAGCTGTGGGAAGTAGCATTTGGACAGATGTGTGATGAACAGTAAGTTCATTACAGACGAGGGAGGGAATATGCACACCTGGGGAAAGTACAGGAGTATTCAGAAGATGGTAAATTAGCCAGCATGATCAAGAGAAGAGTCTCTATAGTAGAACACTGAAGCTAAAAAGTAGGAAAGGAGAAATGAGACAGCCTGTGGAAGGCCTTAACATAGGTCAGCTGTGTTGTATGCAGGAAAGAGGGACTGAAGTCTTTTGCACAGAGGAATGACATGATGAAAATTGTGTATTATCAAGATTTCACTTTTCTTTGAATATAGATTTCTATCCTAACTTTGCAGATTAATGCTTGCCTGTTTGTCTTGAGACATTAGCGTACTTTGAGAAAACTAAGTTCTTGAGTTTTTCAGACTTGGAGTCCCAAGCAAAGCAGGAAAAACAATGGTTGTTCTGGCTACTTCCATACAGTGTTCTGAGTGGCTCTAAGAAAGTGACAGGAAGGCAGGAGTCCCCTCACATGTTTTTCAGATCACAAATGGGATTAATGTGAAGGGTGGTGTCTATGTCAGAAAAACCAGCCTTTTCTTCACCTGCTATGGCTTTAAGGTCATCCTCTGAAAATAAGCATGATTCCTGAGACCTGGAGTGTTTAACAGTTCATGAGTTGGAAAACAGTGTAAATTGGTTTTAAAAGCTGGGTATTGACATCTATGTGATTGGATCACTAGCTTTCAATTATTCACATGTGTTAACCTTGGCAAATTTCAAGTTTTCATTCTTCCTGTCACTCCTAACTAAGTGCATCAAAATGTAAATTGAGGGGCCCGGATTTAGCTCAGCGGTTCCACCCCCTGCCTTGCAAGTGCAAGAACCCAAGTTTGAACCCTGGTACCAAAAAACAAAACAAAACAAAAACAAAAACAAAAAACAAAAAACACCCCCAAAAACAAAAAAAACCACTACCACCAACAAAAGAATCACAGATAGGTGTGTTCCCTTGAAATAGATCTGACAATTTGAAATACAGTGTACAGACATTTGCTTTGCACCTGTACTATGCATCAACAAATATGACCCTGGCCTGTAAGGTTCTTAAAATTCACAGCTCTTCTAGGGCATTTGAAATAGGGTTTGTCTACAAAAATTGAAAATGCACAGAGGAAAAGCACACCTCTCATGCATTTCAAGAATCATTGGATTTTGTGAGTCACTGTTTTCCTGTTGTCCACGATAGAGAGTTGATGGATAGGGTTTATCCCACAGATGACTGCTGCATAACTCTTGGTGGCTTTGTAAAGAGCACTAGATGGAGAGTCAGGAAATCTGGGGTGTAGCCCCAGATCTGTTGCCACTAACTACACATGAAAAGCTAGGACAGATGTTATATCCTTTTTGTACTCAGTGTCCACATCTGTAAAACAAGAAAACACAACTAGACATTTTCTTTAAGTTCTTGCACTTATTAGAATGAATGCTTCACTAATTTGGCATGACAAGGAAATCAACTCAACATTCCCATTGTCATGAAACTGTATAGGTGGTAAGTCATAATTTTAGTCCCATTAAATTTTTTATGGTACCGGGGATCAAACTCGGGTCCTTGTGCTTGCAAGGCAGGCTGCAGAACTGCTGAGCTAAATCCTCAGCCCTAGGTCCCATTAGATTTTTACACAGGAGTCTGTTTCACCCTGTCTTAGTTTCATCTGCTTTGTCTTATCTTCATATCTCCGGTGTTGCAATTTTCTCATTCTATTGTTTTTAGTCTAATTGACTACTTAGGCATTTTTGCATATTTTCTGGAATTTCATTTTATTAGACAGCTGTTCTGGATTTATTATCAGGGAACTT